CATCGCTTCAATCGAGGACTTCTCGATACGCTCCTGGTGGCACTAGAGGGAGCCATGGGCCAAGGAAGTCGGTAATCAGTAACACTCCCCTTTCCCCTCCTTCTGGGTTCATCGTCAACTCCCACCTCCTTCCTACGTCTGCAAGCGTTTCAAAAAGTCCGTCAAGCCAGAATTTTCCAGAAATTTTCAAATGTTCTCAGAACCTTTAAGTTTTCCTCAAATATTTAAATATTACTACTCACCACTTTCGAAAATTATTTACAAGTCCATAAAATGAGCCCCTTTCCCACCTCGAGGAATTCTCAACGTAACTCACTCTTCTTGACCCTGGTTATCGCATAATTACACCTCGTTACCGTATAATTAAGCTGGACAACTTATAACCGCACTTCTCTCAATAAAACAATGAACAGAATTTTCACATTTATTTAAATTTCAAAATTCAAACTTCAGCACGATATTGCTAATTCAACCAGTTTAGACTGAACAGGGAGTATGGTTTTCATAGCCAATCAACTATTCAGTCTTCAATAATCCATCCAATCACAGTCGTTCAATATCTACGATATTCTAATAGTAGAGAATCTATCAAATACAAATATTTTTCTGAATATTACATGCTATGAAACTTCGTATGAAACCTAACAAAGTCAATATACCTGAAATTTTTTTAGAACTTTGTGCAATGACGAAGAGCTAACACTTATTATCACTGATTGGAGAAAAAACGTGGTTCACGGATTTCTTTTGTGTCCACTACAGCAAAATAACTCAAACAGACAGTAATGAGCTCTTATCACTACAATTTAGAAAGGCGAAGCGGTTAACACCACGTAAAAAATAGTGTTTTCCCGTTGCTTGGGATCTACGAACCATCATTTAGTCCCGAGCTGCATACGATCGCGACGCGACCGCAACGCATGACACCAATGATGGTCCGTAAGCACCTTTGCGAGGAACTGAGTGGAAACTTTGTAATTATATATTCTAAGAATTTCAAAACATCCTACATACAAGTGTGTTTGAAGTAATATAAAAATTCTATGGTTGTTGGGGACATTTTTAAGTACATAAGCCTACCA